CAGTATTCTTAAATTTTGTAGCAAGTTTCATGTTAAGTTCATGTTTTACGATTAAGTAAATTCGATCGATAAATTCTCGCCGCAATTTAAGGCAGAAGAATTTTTAGTGCATATACAATTTGAGAATCTTAATTTCAAGAATCTCCAAGTACAGTATGGTGTTAGCAGCGTACTGAGAAACGCTCTGACATTCAAAAGAAATTCTTAATTGCTGAACAAATAAGTTGAAGTCATGAGGATAATGTTTTTCAGTAGAGAAATACAATATGAGCTCGGGAGTTGATACCGTCAGTAACGTTGTCATTCCTGGGATATAATGCAGAAAAAGTTAAGATTAAAATTTATATAATTTAGAAATGCTTTCAAGACTGAAACAGTCTGAAATATTATGCGATTAAGACCTTAATTCGATCTTGAATTATTCGGGGATTAGTATCGAACTATGAATAAACAATAAAAAATGAACCGTTGGAAACTAAAACTTCTTGTCGGCTAAGTTAATCCCTTACAGTCAGAATAAATTTTAACTGCTTTAAATGGAATCTTAATAGATAAGCTTGAAGGACAAAGAAAAGATGTAATGAGATGTGAATTTATGGAGGTTAATCGTGAGATTCTTAAGAGATAAGCTTGAAGGAAAAAAAAAAAAGATGTGATGAGATGTGAATTTATAGAGATTAATCTTAGATGGGGGAATTATAGACATGAGTTGATATTGATTTGATGGAGTAATTATGAGATTCTTTTCCTCTCTTTTTCTCCACTTATGGCCGGCCATGCATGGGGGAATTAACCAAATTTTTTTGCTAATTAAGCTAGCTTGATAGGCTTAATTAAAAGCTAAGAGGAGATTAAACAAAAGTCTATAAATGTTAGATCATTAGTGCAAGCATCAATTTGGCCATCTTGCACATTTCCTCTCCTTTTCCTACACACAAGAACCGGCCCCTCTCCCTCTCCATTTCTTCTCAAAATTTTTCTCCCACTCTTCTAATCCTAAGCCATTAGCAAACATTAGAAGAAGAAGAAGAAGATCAAAGTGTTCTAGGAGACATTTAGCTAAGAATTTTTCTTCAAGAGTATAAACTCTAAACCCCTCTCTCTTATTTTCTAGCTAAGTTTAAGATTTAGAATGTCCTTCTCAATGTTTCTTCCACTTTTCAAATTCCAAATCATTAACAAACCTTAGAGGAGAAAGAAGGTGATCAAGAGGCTCGGAGGAGTCAATCTATATTCGCCTTCAAGGGTAAACCCTTAATCACTTCTTTTCTAGCAAAGTTTAAGTTTAAGAATCCATTGATGTAATTTGTGATTCTTGAAGAAATTAGTTTGTAATAAGGGTGTATGAGTTTATGGTGGTTTTGGTGTGTTTTAAGGTTAGTTTGATTAGTGATATATTTATGCTTGGTTTAAGTTTGGTTTATTTCGGTTAGAGGTAAAAAATTTCAGTTACTTTGAACATGAAAATGAGGATCGTAGAGCGAGATTTTTCAGTTGTTCTAAATTTGAGCTTATAGTTCTCGATGTTTTAAACGTTTTTATGTGATTGTGAATAAACCTAGTTTCAACTCTAAATACAACTTTTAAATTGTTTTTCAAAACACTGTAAAGCTGTCCAAAAAACTGTTTCAAAACTGGCAACCATTGTTTGCAGCCAAACGAGCCCTTTTAGAGGCCGAATCTCAGTTTTCTCCGAACACGAGAATTTTAGATCTCGGCGAGACGAAGAATTCTCGTGCAAAACGGATTTTCAAAATCAGATTCTAAGATGCAGTAAAACGCAAAATTTTGAAACTACATAGTTTTAAGCGGACAAAACTAAGACATTTTTGGTTTTTAATGAAAAATTAATCAAAGAACCCGAGATGTGATTTCAGTAAAATACCATGGTTTTAGACCTCGTTTAACGGAAAATATTCGTGAAGAAAGTTTTTGAGAAAATGATTTCTAAGACATAGTTTCACAGTGGTTTACAAACTAACCGTAAAATGACTTGTGAAATAGTTTCAAAAGTCAGTATTCGAAAGAAAATTCATTTAGGATTGATAACGGAATTTTAGTATTTGTAACTAAATAAGTAAGTTATCGGTTTTATGAAAGTCGAACAATAGTTTCTTTTGAAACCTTAATAGTTTTGAGCAAAAACATTCAAACGAGAACTTACGAGCCCAATATGTTAAGCTTGTAGAATTTCACAGTTAGAAGCGGGTCCAACGCCTATATTAGTTCAAAAACTCCCGCTCAAGTCTAAATTTCAACGGTCTAGAGTTAGAACGCCTCTATTAAGTCTCTAGGCCAAATTAGGCCTTAATAATATAACAAGCCCAATAAAGTAATTTATAGAGGATTAGTTGCTAGATTGGGTAATTGATTAATCAGAAATTGATTTTCAATCTAGGCATATGTATGTTAAGGGCAATTAAAAAAAATAAGATTTTGAGGATTTAATAAATTGATCCTTATAGTAAATTTTTATGATCCTTTGAAAAATAAAAGGAAGACACGCCTTAAGTAAAAGATTAGATTCCTTCATAAGTTTTTTAAAATAGAATAGCAAATGACAGTTAATCTCACACTCTTAATGGGTGTTCATTTTCAGAAGTAAGAAAGTAAGATAATAGACTGTTTGACGAATAATGGATTCTAGCTCTGTAAATCAGGTAATTAGGAATCTCGCCTACAATATGAATAAATTTTAAAGAAAAAGTTACACATATTATATATGCATGTTTATGCTTTATGTTATAGTATGCGATGCCATGCCATATTACATATACCTTAATAAGTCAAGTGAAACTTATAAGAATAATCTCAGTTGAATGCCGTACCAGCCTTTGAGAGGGAGGTAACCCAGACTCTGCAAGGGAGATAGAAAAAAAAAGAAGAAGTATATAGTAAGTTAAATCATGGTGTCGTTGGGGACCTTGCAAACTCTCACGTCCCGATAATTGCGCGCACATTGTACGAGCACTCGGGCCCATCAGTAAGCAAGATAAGATTAAATAATATGACTTTAATAAGACATTATTATAATTAAGCATAATTGGCTCATGCATATTTATTCATGTGAACTTACAGTTATTTTACGAGAGATAATTCCTACTTGTTGAGCGAAAGCTCATCATAGAATATTTATACTGTAGGTAAGCAACCTGCAACTAATGCTTAATGGACTGATGGTGAGGCGGCGGACGAACAATGTGGAGATCGGGAAATGTATACCGCTCGCAATTATTTCTACAAAAATTTATATGATAAATAGTTTTGTCAATTATGACTTTGAAACTATAGGTTAAATGATTAGATTATTACTGTATGTAAGTAAGTAAAACTTAAAGATCAATTATATATATATATATATTTTGAAGGATCAATACGTTGAAGATTAATATTTTGTCATAATTAAGAAAAAAATCTAAAATTTATGTTTACTATAATAGTTTTTAAAAAATATATTTCATAAATTTTAAGAAATTTTAGCATATATATATTAATATCAATTACAATAACGATCACTTAAAAAGGTCGTCATAGTGGGTGCTTCGATTATTCTCTGCTTTATAGGATTAAAACAAAATATGACGTAGTACTTAGACCAAAAATAAGATTAATGCAGCAGGTGGCCACCACCGCCTTTGGCCTTCTTCATCGGTGCAATTATTAAGATTAAAAAGAAAAAAGTAGCCAATCTTATTACATATATACATGTAATTACCAGAATCGGAAACTTTCCTTAAAAAGAAAAAGATAGAACTCACGAAAAGAAAAGGAAACTAGGCGGTCAAGAGAGATTTACATAGCTAATTGCTGTAAATCAGTATTTATGCTCTCTCCTTCTGTTTGCTGTAATTGAATTTGACAACATGGGTACGAATTTGCATGTGGAACTTCTCCATCAACACAGGCTAGAAGTAGAAACTGATTTTTGTACTAAAACTGTTCCATGTTTGTGTGTTTTTTAACTCCTCGTTTTTTAAGTACCATTTATTTTTTATTATAATTTTATGCATTAATAGTTATATTTTGTCGATGATTAGGTATATGAGAAAACTGGATTTTGTATTTATGCTCATAATTGTGTGTCTTTAAATATATATTTTTTTTTTTTTTATTGAATGCAAGCGTTTATTTAAATATTCTTGTTCGCTGGATTTCACTAATTCATCTCTATGGACAAGTTGCCGTCAGAATAGTTTTTGGATGCCGCGTCCATACAAAATTGTAGTGTTTGTATTATTGTTTTTTTTTTCTTTCTTTTTTTGTTCTTTTTGTTTGCTAAGCATGACTCTGTTACATGTTTATAATGTAATATATATTACATACAACTTGAATTCTTTTTTTGATAATTTTATAACAAACTTGATTTGGTATAACCAATTCCAAGTCATAATTGGTTTAGCACAAACTTCATTTTTGTTTTTTGTTTTTCCTTTCCAAATCTCCTTGCTCTGTAATGATACAGGGGTTTGAAACTAATGGTAAATGGAATCTGTAATAAATTTGCCTAAAGAAAAACATTTCAAAAGCAGAGGATTAGTCACCAAAAAAACCGGAATCTTTATCGTTTTCCGAACACCTTTTTATCTTACTTGATCACTTTGATTGCTTCTTTTCTTGTACAAAAAGACACTTTATGAAATTAAGGGCTCCTCTAGGCTTTAATCTTCCTTTAAAAAATAGAGAATTACTGCAGAAAGGCAAAGCTCTATAAACCCTGATTAATATCTAACTCATGAATCTTTCTTAACCAAAACAGAAAGCAAAGTAAAAGACTTTTTTTTGTGTACACTTGGACCTTGGAATACTTTCTTTCATCCTAGCCAGCAAAGAATCTTTAATCCGCAGCCGATTTTGAGAAAATGAAACACACAACCAAATATATATATATATATATAATAAAACAAAATAAAAGAGGAGCTTAGCATTTTGGATAAGCCTATTCCTCTCTCTCTCATATATATTATTTCTTTTTTCTCTCTCTTTTTTTTTTTTAACTTTTATTGGAATTTTCTCCTTTTCCTAGAATAATTAACATGCAAGGTGTGAGTGTTTGAAGTCTGCAAGGGAGAATTAGAGACGAGGAGAGAGAGAGAGAGAGATGGAGAGGGAGACATTTTTCTCTGAACTTCTCTCGGTGTCTCCATCAGCCATCTCCTTTGATCTCTTCCTGTCTTCTTTCTTCTGATTTATCAAAACAAAAAACCCCCCAAAACCATAGATAAAGTTAAACTCATTTCCCACTAGAAATTTGGCAACGTTTTGGGGCTATGGAATTATTATAATCTTCTTCTCATTATAAAACCTCATCACATTTTCCCAAATTTTTTTGCAGTTTGGTCCTAAGTTGTTGAGAGAGCATTCAAGAGGAAGTCATCTTCTAAAGAGGAACAGTGTGTCTTTTACGGAAAAAGCAAAAAAAAAAAAAAAAAAAGTAGTTACAAAAAAGCAAACAAGAAGAACAAATACCCAAAACCTTCCATAATTATTAGTCCTTTCAAGAATGGTTACTACAATCACCTACATTCTCTTAATATGGCTTGTTCTTCTCACCATTGTCGAAGCCAACTCTCTCAGCTTCAACAATCTCACTCTTCCTCATCAGCATCCGAACCCTGAAGCAGTTGTTGAAGAAGTTCAAAGGTAAGCCATTTCTAGGTTTTGTTCTTTAAACAGTTTTGGATAATGGGTCATTTTCATTTCAAGTGTTTTTTCATGTTAAAAACCACAAAATATGCTCCACTATTGTTCTTCAAACCAACCAAAAAAAAAAAAAGGAGAAAAAGAAAGCCCATTTCTTTTTTAGTTGAGCTCATTTTCTCTGCATTCACCTCATTTTCCCAGTAACCAAACAGAACAGAGCATTCCTCTGTTTTCCACTAAAAACAAAACCCCATCTGGGTTTTCCTGTCCAAACCAATTCCAATCATGGGTCACTCCCACATTCTCAAATTCCCTCGTCAAACCATCCATTTTCCCTCTAACCAAACAAACTCTCTTTCTTTCTTCCTCGCAGGTCCGTCAACGCCTCACTCACACGCAGAAGCCTCCTCTCCGTCCACCAAGCCGACCAACAACAATGCCTGACCGGCAACCCCATTGACGACTGCTGGCGCTGCGACCCCAACTGGGCCGCTAACCGCCAGCGCCTCGCCGACTGCGGCATCGGCTTTGGCCGCGACGCCCTCGGCGGCAAAGGCGGCCAGATCTACGTCGTCTCCGACTCCTCCGACCGTGACCCGGCCCGCCCCGTCCCCGGCACTCTCCGCCACGCCGTCATCCAAACCGAGCCCCTCTGGATCGTCTTTTCCGCCGACATGACCATCAAGCTCCAACACGAGCTCATCATGAACAGCTTCAAGACCATCGACGGCCGCGGCGCCAACGTCCACATCGTCGGCAACGGCTGCATAACCCTCCAGTACATCTCCAACGTCATCATCCACAACGTCCACGTCCACCACTGCAAGCCCTCCGGCCACGCCGACATCGCCTCCAGCCCCACCCACGTTGGGTGGAGGGGGAGATCCGACGGCGACGGGATCTCCATCTACGGGTCCCGCAAGATCTGGATCGATCATTGCACGCTGTCGTACTGTACGGACGGGCTGATTGATGCGATAATGGGATCGACGGGGATTACAATCACGAACAACTATTTTTCTCATCATGACGAGGTTATGCTGTTGGGGCACAGTGATGGGTACTTGCCGGATTCCGGGATGCAGGTGACGATCGCGTTTAATCACTTTGGGGAGGCGCTGGTGCAGCGTATGCCACGGTGCAGACGCGGGTATATTCATGTGGTGAATAATGATTTCACGCAGTGGGAGATGTACGCCATTGGTGGGAGTGCTAATCCCACCATCAATAGTCAGGGGAACCGCTATATTGCTCCGACTGACGAGAATGCCAAAGAGGTAATTTCAGTTTGGGTAGTTTGGTAATTTCACTTTTGGTGTTTTCTTATTTCGTTTTTTTTTTTTTGGGGGGGGGGGGGG